AAAAAAACGAAGAAAAGAAAGGGAGAAGGAAGAGAGGGTGTGTTCAAGGTTTGGTTTAGACGGCAGTGCAGCTGTATGATGGAGACCTGCAGAAAGGTCTCCTCCGACTCAAAAAGGAGAACTCGGAGCTCAAGAGCAGGAGCGAGCAGCTGCAGTCTCGCCACGAGGAGCATCAGAGGAAGTACCTCATGTGCTTGCAAGAACGCGACGCACACGCCGAGACCATCAACAAGCTGACGGCTCACTTCATCGTCAAGAACGACAACCCAGACCAGCTGCGACTCGGCAGCAGGCACCTCACGACAGCACATAAAACGATCGGCCACATCCCTCCCGGCTACCTCGAGCCCCAGGCTGACGTCAGCTGCCGCGATTGCGAGCAGTACCGCAAGACTCGTTCAGTCGGCTTCCACGATGGCCACAAGCTCGAGAACGGCAGGACGACCTCCTCCCACTCGCAGGTGGACTGGAGCCACCGGCTGGAGGGCAATGGGATAGCAAGCGCTCGCTCCATGGTGCCCCCGGAGACAGACAGGTCCTCGTGGGACGGCGGGATGCTCTCCAAGGATTCTGCTCGCGACTGGTTCGGCCCTGCGCTTGCAGAGGACGCTCATCCCCTGAGGAGCGTGCTCCAAGAGCTCTCGTCCTACAGCAACCCGGTGGACTATGAGAGCAGCGGGAAGGACATGCAGATGTTGGAGCAGGAGCAAGGGATGGGCGGGCAGTGGTACCAGCAAGCGACGAGCACGACAAGGGAGGAGGTTGAATCTCTGCGGCAAGCGAACTCAGAGCTTCAAGAGAACCTCCGTAGAGCCAGCAAGACTGCGGCAGATGCGGTCCGCAGCAGAGACGACATGCTGGCAAGAACTACAAAGGACATGGAAATGCTGAAGCGAAAGCTTGAGGAGCAGGAGGAGCTGTCAGGCACGCTTGAGCGGCAGCTCCGAGCTGAGAGGATGGACATGCAGGTGGTCGTGCAGGAGAATGAGACCCTGAAGAGGAGCTCGCTAGTGGCACAGGTGACCTGACGCTTCTCGTTTGGGAGCTCTTGACATGAAGACCAGGAGGATGCGATCAAGCAGCTGCAGAAGCATCACCTGCGGAACATGGACCTGCTCCATGCCCTCGCATGCGTCTCGCAACACTACAAAGATCGCACAGGCAACACGCAGATCTGAGGGATGTCAGAGCGAAGGTTATCTTTGATTCCTTCATTGACAGCATGTGGCGGATGTTTGCTTGTGGGAGAAGATCTCTACATGTCCATCCCGTTGTTCTTCCCCTGTCTTGATTTCATCATCGCCTCACCGATCATCTTCCTCGTGTTGTCATCGCCCTCCTCGTACATGTCCTGCATCAGCTCCATGATGCTGTTCATCGGATCTCGCTGCTTCTCCCGGTCGCGTCGCTTCTTGCTGCACAGCTCGTTCCACGTCTCGTAGGAGTACTCTCCCTTCACCTTCTTCAGCGTCAGCTCGATCCTGTTCTTCTTCACCTTGAACGAGCTCTCGTCAGGCACGATGTCCTTGTACAAGTTGGTGATGTGCCGCCTGTAGTTCACACCGTTGATATCTAACACCTTCACGTCCACCCGATCCACGAAGAACTCGCACTGGACCTTGTCCTTGAATTCCCCCACGTTCTTCAGCTCCAGGTAGACAGTTACGGTGGGTGAGTTGTACTCGTCAGTCAGGAACATGAGGCTCTCAAAGTCCTTGTACGCCGTCGTCACGCCACTCGACGTGGGAGCGTTAGGGAGCTTCTGGGGTGGAGGGCCCGAGGCCTTTGCAGGAGCCGCCGGATGCTCAGCGCTGTTGGAGTCTGTCGTTGTCGACAAGCCGTTGGTCTGCTGGCTGACAGCTGGGGTGAGAGGCTGCGACTTGGCCTGAGCTTGCTGCTGATCCTTGAGATGTTTGATTTCTTGCTCGTGCGCGGTCTTCATACTGGCAGCCTGTTGATTCCAGGCCGACGCGAGCTCCTCCATGCTCTTCAGGTGCGTTTGCAACATGTTGGAGATTCTTGGACGCTTGGAGGACCTCAACAGAGTCTTGAGCTCCTGGATGTCCTCTTCAATCTCCTTGATGGATGACATCTGCGAGGGAACATCAGTGAGGGTCCATGCGTCAAACCGTAACCAGCTATGGCATGATCTAATCACTGTTATACACCTCAACTCCTATGACTGACTTGCGGTCCATTGCCCCCTCACAATCTTCCTTTCCCTTCTTGATTTTTTGCTTGCCTTTCTCTTATCCATATTTTCCGTGTTCCCTATTTTCTCTGGTTTAGGTTTTCCCTGTGTCCTCCTCCTTCCCCTTCTTCGTTTCCCCTCCGTTCTCTACTCGCCTCCTCACCTCACCTCACCGCACATCTCCTCCTCTCCTCTCCTCTCCACTCCACTCCACTCCTCTCCTCTCCTCTCATCTTCTCTCCACTCTCCGCCTAGGAGATTTCCATCGCCGAAATCCA